GGAACAACAGTGGGGCTTCACGGGGTGGTTGCAAGTACTAGGTAAAAGCGTTCCTTAAAGAGAACAGAGCCTGCCGGCAGAGGTCCCCAGCCCAGCCTGTGTGTCCTCAGAGGGCACTGGGGCCTTCGGAGTCTGTGAAATCCTTCACATTGCCTTCTTCCTGAATAGCCCCCGGCGGGAGTGAAGACAGAACTACATAGAAACCAGGGACTCCCCAGGGGAGGCCCTGTCCTAACCAAAGACCGGGCCAGCCGGAGGCCAGGCAGCCTTAGAGAGGCTAAGGGACATCTCCTCTCAAATAATTCAGATCTAAATTCACAGCAGATCCACCCCTCCACAAATCTGTGGTAGAATGTTCTGAGCATGGAGACCACGCGTGGAGGGGGCTTTCTTTTCCCACTACTAAATCCATGGCCCTCCCCGCTGTGATCTGATTGTATTTACCTGGTTCCACGTAAACAGATCCAGGGAGATTTTCAGTCACCCCAGCTGAAACCTGTTAAGGACAGACGCACACGAGGTTCCGCGGCTCCAATCTGTTTCAGTATCTTTCCACCAATGGCCTCTGCTTTCTGTCCCCATTCTCGAAGCAGGATAAGAACAAGAAAATGGAACCATCGTTAAAGTGGATATTACACACCCCTCGAGGGTCTCGGCCACCAGTGTTGGCCGTTGGCTTTCAAAGAGGCATTTGGTACAGGAGGCTGTGAACCCGGACGGCGTGTTTGACGGACAGTGTTCTCGCGGGGACCCCAGGGCTGGGAGCATGAGCCTGGAGCTCTCTCCAGTTGTCACCTGTGCTGGGAAACCTGCCGTCCTCGACCAGAGACTCCAGCAAGTCCCCCTTGTCTTCGCTCTTCAGCTTTGTCAACTGCCCAAGGTGGAGGGGGACGAAGAGCTGCTACAACAAGACCACTGAGAAGAAAGGCACCCACGGGAAAGTGGCCAAGGACTCCAGTGGACACTTCCTTCAGAGGATGTACAGATGGCCAGTGAGCTCATGCAAGGCTGCTCCATGTCACCGTCAATACGGGAAGCGCACGAGCAAGCCCGCCTCGCCTCGCACCCATTAGGCTGGCTAATAAGAAAAAGAGCAAATGACCAGACAGAAGGGGACGTGGAGAAGCTGGAAGTCCCTGCACTGTTGGTGGCACTGCGAAGAGCTACAGCTGTGCAGGAAGCCACCTGGCGAGCCCCCCGGAACAAACAGGATGGCCGTTCCACCAGCAATTCCACTTGGTGCGTGCATATCCAAGAGAAAGCAGGGTCTTGAAGAGACATTTGCAAACCCACGTTCATAATGGCATTATTCACAGTAGCCCAAAGAGAGGAGCCACCCAAGGGTCCGCCGACAGAAGAATGGCTAACAAGTGTGGTTCTACGAATAACAGAATATTATTCAACCTTAAAAAAGAGGGACACATTGCTGGGAAAACTGGAAATCCATATGCAACAAAATGAAACTGAATCCCTTTCTCTCGCCATGCACAAAAGTTAACTCAAAATGGATCAAGGAGCTTGATATCAAATCAGAGACACGGCGTCTGATAGAAGAAAAAGTTGGCTACGATCTACATACTGTGGGGTCGGGCTCCAAATTCCTCAATAGGACACCCATAGCACAAGAGTTAATAACTAGAATCAACAAATGGAACTTACTCAAACTAAAAAGTTTTTTCTCAGCAAAAGAAACAATAAGAGAGGTAAATAGGGAGCCTACATCCTGGGAACAAATCTTTACTCCTCACACTTCAGATAGAGCCCTAATATCCAGAGTATACAAAGAACTCAAAAAATTAGACAATAAGATAACAAATAACCCAATCAACAAATGGGCCAAGGACCTGAACAGACACTTCTCAGAGGAGGACATACAATCAATCAATAAGTACATGAAAAAATGCTCACCATCTCTAGAAGTCAGAGAAATGCAAATCAAAACCACCCTAAGATACCATCTCACTCCAGTAAGATTGGTAGCCATTATGAAGTCAAACAACAACAAGTGCTGGCGAGGATGTGGGGAAAAGGGTACACTTGTACATTGCTGGTGGGACTGCAAATTGGTGCAGCCAATTTGGAAAGCAGTATGGAGATTTCTTGGAAAGCTGGGAATGGAACCACCATTTGACCCAGCTATTCCCCTTCTAGGTCTATTCCCTAAAGACCTAAAAAGAGCATGCTACAGGGACACTGCTACATCGATGTTCATAGCAGCACAATTCACAATAGCAAGACTGTGGAACCAACCTAGATGCCCTTCAATAGACGAATGGATAAAAAAAATGTGGCATTTATACACAATGGAGTATTACTCTGCATTAAAAAATGACAAAATCATAGAATTTGCAGGGAAATGGATGGCATTAGAGCAGATTATGCTAAGTGAAGCTAGCCAATCCCTAAAAAACAAATGCCAAATGTCTTCTTTGATATAAGGAGAGTAACTAGAACAGAGTAGGGACGAAGAGCATGAGAAGAAGATTAACATTAAACAGGGATGAGAGGTGGGAGGGAAAGGGAGAGAGAAGGGAAATTGCATGGAAATGGAAGGAGACCCTCAGGGTTATACAAAATTACATACAAGAGGAAGTGAGGGGAAAGGGAAAAAAAATACAAGGGGGAGAAATGAATTACAGTAGAGGGGGTAGAGAGAGAAGAGGGGAGGGGAGGGGGATAGGAAAGGCAGCAGAATACAACAGACACTAGTATGGCAATATGTAAATCAATGGATGTGTAACTGACGTGATTCTGCAATCTGTATACGAGGTAAAAATGGGAGTTCATAACCCACTTGAATCAAAGTGTGAAATATGATATGTCAAGAACTATGTAATGTTTTGAACAACCAACAATAAAAATTAAAAAAAAAAAAGAGGGACACATTGATACCTGGATGAACCTGGAAGACATTCCACTAAGTGAATAAGCCAGACACAAAGGACAAAAACTAGATGAGCGCACTGGCATACAGTGTTCGAGTACTTAAATCCACAGAGACATGGACTGGAGTGCGTGGGGCGGGAGAGGGTGTGGAGTTGCCGTTTGCAAGATGAGGAGTTCTGGAGATCGGCACATCACACTGCTGAGTCCTGCACTCAGATGGTCAAGATGAATAAAAAGAAAAGTGAAGGGAGGGAACTCACCAGGACGCCCCTCGTGGACAGGCGAAGGGACTCAGCGAGGTACATGCCCTTTGTACGCCATGGCCTGTTGCGGTGAGGATTGCAACTTGGGGCAAGACAAGGTGGGCGGTGAAGATCGTAACTTGGAGCGAGACAAGGTGGGCCATGTTTGCTCAGGTTTCTGTTCCCCAGGATGGTGCTCACTCCACCCTCCCACCTCCCACTTCCCACTGACAGCTGTTGGGCTCCTAGGTCGCGGGCACACCTGCAGCCATCCATGCCCACTGGGCACTGTGACTCTGGGCCACAGACTCTGTCCCATGGCTAAATCTGCCCTGGGGCTGGAACAGGATGCGAGAGGCCCCTTCAGTGGCCCTGGGTAGGCCACAGGGCTCAGGCCCCCTCAGGTCCACAGGTACCATCCCATCCTGTGGCCTTGCCCTGGCACTGGGAGGAGGGGAAGGAAGGGCTGAGGCGGGAGGCCATGAGAGGGCTCGAGGTCAGCTGGGCCAGTAAAGCTGCCCCAGTCCCGGTGCTGGTGGCCGGGCAGGAGGGCCCAGGGAGCCACTCTGCTCCATTGAACCTCAGCATCTCTAAAGATCCCAGGTCTTTGCGGGGCTCCGTCTTCCTAGGTTCTGTCCAGATTGGTAATGCCCCACGGACACAGAGTCAGGGGAAAAGAAATCACCTCTTTGCTTCTTAGTGTCTAGCACGACTTCAGGGTTGTGTCGTCACGTTAATTGGAGTCTGGCAGTGATGTCTGCTGGGCTCCAGAGCAGCAAGAGGCAGGGAGAGACCCCGAGGAGGCCGGGACCCCGGGATGTGGGGACCCTGGTGGAGAGGAGTTTGGCAGGGCAGATATTTAGGCCACTTGACAAGAGGGACATGTTTTGGGCTCAGGGTTTGGGCTTAGCAGAGCAGGAAGGCAAGCTGAGCGGCTGGCCTGGGAGGTGAGGTCAGCCTCCCCGGGCAGCGAGAGCCACGTGTGTCTTTCAGAGGAAATCAAAGCGTCTGTTAGCAATTCAGAGAACACAGTTGGTTGTCCCTGCTGCAGTCCTGGCCAGGGGGCCTCTGATGGGTGATGTGTTACCCTAATCTGGGAGGAAGCTCTGAGGACCTCTTCAGCCCATGGAGAGTGGAGACTGTGGAGGAGCCTCCAGCTCTCTGACCAGTTCAGGAAAGAGTCCTAGCGATTCACACTTGCCTTGTGAAAACCGGGGTGCACACCAAGCTTTCCATATCTCTTCTCTATTTCTTTTGCCCAGTTACTCTCTTGCACACTAACTTGGTGGTACTTTTTTCAAAGGTAAATATTCACAGGCTTTACTTTCTTTAACCAATTCTGGAGTTTGCAGAAATTAAAAAAAAAAAAAAACGAGGCTCAAAATTCAATTTCTTTGCCCACTTGGCTCAAACTGGTTTGGGGGGGCAACACTCTTAGCTTAAGTCAATAGCAACTGCCCCATTGTTGCTGCTGCTGCTGGGAACCTGGGGGGCTCATTCGGGAATCCTGAAACCACTCAGCAACTGAACAAGGTGTCTCTGATTGGCCCAGAAAGATGTCAGTCCAGCACCACGCGCCCAATCAAAGAGCCGGAGGGAGGGTCCAACTCACCCACCCTGGCTCCCTCTATTCCAGACTACCACCTGCTAGCTCCATGCACTTGTCTCACCAGGTTTTCAGAATCTGTTCCCATCCACCACCCTGAGTGCCAGAGATCATCATTATCAATACTGTGGCGCTTCCTTCAAATGACTGGCAGCTTTGTGACCTTTCCTTTTTTGTTACAAATGACTAATGCACATACTACTCATGAAAAAGTAGGATAAGTGGCGGAGAAAGGCAACGTAACGATTTCAGAAAGGTCTGTGAGGCAGAACCCATTAGTGAGCTACATTTTGTTCAAAACTGAGATACTGGCAGGCAGAATAACCCGCCGTGTGCCGGAACGCATTCAGCTGTAGCGGTGACTAATAATGCAGCCGGAGATCTGTTCAAATTTTCCCCCTTTGGTGCCTATTTTCATAAGCTAATAACTGAAGCATGAAAATTGTTTCAGGCTGAAAACTGGCGGTAAGAGCTGGGCAATCGGTGTGGGAAACAACTTTTTGTTGCTGTTGTTACTTAATTTAGTTGGGCTGTTTTGAAGTCAGGAGGAGTGCAAATGTCCACGTGGGTTTTCTCTAGCTCTGGGTTTTTGTTAAGCCTGAGGACACATTTGGGATTTTATTACACGAAGCAGTCTTTTAACCACGGCGGACAGTGGTTTGTCTTTGTACAGGTGTGCGCTTCTGTTGGGGACAGGTTGGGGTCATGGTGGGGGGGAGAGATTGAATCAGAGCCTTAGAAATGAGGTTACATCATCCTGGGCGCTGAGCCTTGGACTGGAAACTCCTGTCAATCAAACAGCCCCTGAGCAAACAGCCACCTGAGACCAGAGGGGCAGGTGGGGGTGAGGCCCAGGGCAGGGGTCCAGTGAGTTCCTAGATGAGCCCTGCGAGTAGTGACGCCTCTCCTTCCTGCAGGAGTGGGCTTGCTCAGCACTTTCTTGTACAAAACAAAGTCCAAGTAAAGAGGTCTATAGGTCACAGGCCCCTCTGACTCTTTCCTCTTTTATTGGGGCAGGAGGTTGGAGGGAGACAGGAAAACCCAGAGAAGAGCGGAACAAACACCTGTGGACGCACACTCCAGAAATAACAGATGTGGATATTTTATGATGGTTATTCCACTTTTATTTTTAATTTCTTTATTTTTTTTTTTGGTACCAGCGGTTGAATCCAGGGGTGCTTTACCACTGAGCCACATCTCCAGGCCTTTTTTGTATTTTATTTAGAGACAGGTTCTCACTAAATTGCTTAAGCCCTCCCTAAAACCTCCTTAAGTTGCTGAGGCTGGCCTTGAACTTGGAATCTTCTTGCCTCAGCCTCCTGGGCCGCTGGGATTATAGGTGTGCGCCACTGCGCCTGGTTTATTCTAACTTCTAAAAAAACCCAAAATGATTGAAATGTGACTGGTAAGGTTGTACCTCTCCTTAATTTCAGACAAGAACGTGGGGAGCAGGAGGGGAAGGGGCCCCACAGACCTGCAACCCACAGCATCTTTCTGGAGCTCTCTAGGAGACTGGCTGGTCAGACAGCAGGTGTCATCGTCTCACGGACAGGTGAGAGCTGGGGCGCCGGGGCGGGTGTCTAGGGTCTGCCCAGAACTGGACTTGGGACCAAGCAGAAGACAAAATGGATCAGATGATTGCTTCATTTATAAATCTTTGATATGTCCTTTTCCCTCCAAATGGTACTGAATCTTCTGAAAATTTAAAAAAAAGGCGTGGGATGGGCGGCTTTGCCAAGGGGGGGGCTGGCCTGCTGGCCTCCCGTGAGTCTTGGAGCTTCTCTGTGCAGCGAGGCGCCATGAATCAGTTAAGCTCAGGCCCAGGTTGCATCATATCCGAGGCCACCAGGAGCCGGCAGGGTGGGCCAGCTGGAATCTCACAGCCCACTCTGCAGACCCAGGCTGGGCTCAGGGGCTTCCAGGAGGACAGCTCCATTTGCGAACCAGCTATTGGTTAAAAAAAAAGAAAAAAAAAAAGAAAAGAAAAGAAAGAAAAAAATCGGTCTTTTTGTGTTGATTGATTTTGGCTCTGGAGAGATTTTGCTAGTCCTTGCAGCAGGACTGAGTCCCCCCCACCTCCAGCAGTTCCCTGAATTGTTTCAGGAGAGCAGAAAGACAGCCTTTTCCGTTCCAAAGCAAAGCTGGGTCTGCAGCATGTGCACAGGTCCAGTCTTTCAGTGGCCAAGTTCACTGCTAAGTGCTCAGCACCTGGGCTAGGCCGGGCCGTCTGGGACCCACGCTGGCCCCGCTGCACTGTAGCCCGACCGGCTTTCCTCCCCAGACAGCAAGAAGCCCAGGGAGGCGGTCGGAGGAGGAACTCAACTGTTAAGACATTTAACAGAGAAAACTTGTTGTCCTGCTCTCCTGACCCGGAGCACACGGCCCTGGGTGCCCAGGTCTCCACCCGGACATGGGCCAGGTGCCTCCCCTGCCCAATATGCAAATCACTCTTTGGGGTAAAGTGCCTCTTCCTAGAGAGTTCCTCTCCTCTGAGGCCCCGGGGAGAGCTGCTAAAGATAGGCTTGCAGCTCCCAAAGAAGAAAACCGCAGGCTTTGGCTTTATCAGCTAAGGCAGGATCCTTCCTGCCCCCAACCGGCCCCTTCCTGCTGGTCCAAAATGCACGTGTCCAGCACAGAGACACACCAGGTTCTGTCCAGTCCTCTGAAACTGCTCGGAGTAGAGGCTGCTGGTCCTGTACGTCCCGCCTGGCTCGTTCGATTGGGCTTGTGTTGCCAAAAGACCTGACTGCAAATCCAAAGCCAGGCGGGCAGGCCCCTGAGCACAATGGTCGGGAGCCCCTGGTCTTCCTAGTCTGGTGCTTCAACAAAACACCGGAAGGGTTGCCTGTGAGGGCGAGCCTCCCCAGGGTGCCTCTAGTGCAAGCTCCCCTGCTGGGGCAGCCTGGGGGCCTGGAAGTGGGCCTAGGGAGGCTGGGCAGGAAATGTCCACTGGCCATTCCTTTGGCAGGAAAAGGTCCAGTTAAGGACAGCCTTGTCATTTCGAATCACAGGAGTGCAGGGGAGTCTTATTTCCTGTCACTTTCTGTGATACAGTTACAGCTGCTCTTTTGTCTTGGGACCATTCCAGTGGCTGCAGAGGGGCACCTCATTGCTCCTTTAGTGTGAGTCTCCCTACTGGCTACTGGTGACCCCACCGGCAGCCTTCATATGCTTGTTGTCATTGGTCTTTCTTCCTTAGGAAACGTCTGTTTAAATGTTTTGCCCAGCAGGACACAGGGGCGCACACCTGTCATCCCAGAGGCTGGGGAGGCTGAGGCAGGAGGATCACAAGTTTGAGGCCAGCCTTATTAACTTAGCAAGACCCTGTCTCAAAATAAAAAAAAAAAAAAAATAGAGCTGGGGATGCAGGTCAGTGGTAAAGCACCTCTGGGTTTAATCCCCAGCATAGATACACAGACTGATAGATAGAAAGTAAGTTAGTTTTGCCCAGGACACCATGGGGCAGCTCTGAGTCACACTTCTCCTGCACTGCGTGAGCCCCTCTTTATCCAGCCTTGTGAAGCTGTCCTGAAGCCACTGAGAAACGTTCACACTCTGATCTGTTGTTCTGAATGGGTTTTGCGACCCTCTGCAGCTGTATATGACGTTACACCTTATGATCCTTCATCCCTTCTGTCCTGTCACATCTGTTCTGATATTTCTGTGCAGACTTTTCTTCCACTGAGGATATTCAATGTAAAGAAGAAAACTCAGTTCCACAGTAAAAATACAAAAAAGTGACAGAAATGAAAAAAAAAAAAGTAATTTGCCCATTTTTAAATTAATTTCTTACTGAGTTTGGGGAACTCTTTATATATTATGGATACAAATTCTTTCTTAGATATATGATTTGCAAATATATTCTCCCCATCTTTTCTTTTCCCTTGCTTAAGTTAAAAGCCTGTCTTTTGACCTTCTTAGCAGAGTCTTTTGTTTTTAATTTTGAAGAAGCCCAATTTAAAAATATTTTCTTTTATATGTCAGGCTTTTGGCATAAGAAATCTTTGCCTAACCCTAGGTCACAATGACTTTCTCATATTTTATTTCAGAAGCTATAGTTATTTTGATCTATGATGACCCATTTGGGGTTAGATTTTGCATATGGTGTGAGACCTGGATCAAAGTTCATTTTTTTCCCCATGCATACATCCAATTGTTCATGCAACGTGTGTTGAAAAGACTCTTTTTATCATATTGCTTTACTACGTTGTCAAAAGTCAGCCAGTTTTTGGAGTCTTGACCCTGACATTCCATTGATGTCTGTGCTTTGTTTCACTGCCCTGGCGTGTGTGTGTGTGTGTGTGTGTGTGTGTCTTGAGACCACAACATGCTATCACCTTTTCACGCTGTTGGCTGGGCTCCTCTGGGTGGTTCTTTCCAAGGGTCTCTCATGCATTTACAGCTGGATTGTGCCTGCAACATAGATCATCAGAAGGTCCACCAGGGTGAAGGCCCAAGGTGACCCCTACCTTTCCCCATCTTGCCCCTGCACTGGACTGCCTGCAGCATCTGGAGGGGGACTGGCTACCAACTGTCTCTCTGCAGCCTCTCTAGATGTCTCCCTTAGACTTCCCCACAGAGTGACACTTTTAGGGAAGTTGGACTTCTTAGTTGTGGCTTGTCCTAGAATGAGTCTTGCAAACATAAATGTCCCAAGAGACCCAGGCAGAAGCTGCAAAGCTTCTTATAACCCACCCTAGGCCTCCTGTCAGGTCATTTCTGCCCTGTTCTATAAGGAAAGAAAGTCCCTATGATCAGGCCAGATTCATGGAGAGGCTATGAGACCCCACCTCTTGATTTTAGGAGGGCCATTGGGGGCCCGGGAGAATTGTTGGTTTTCTGTGTGATATAAATTGTGCTAGTAGCAGAAGTCTCAAAATCAAGCAGTGTTCATCTTGCAGATTTGTTCATCTTTTGCAAACTTGTTTTGACCATTCTAGGTCCTTTCCATTTCTTTATGAATTTTAGAATTAACTTGTCCATTTCTCAACAAAAATAACTCAATTTGGACTTTTATTAGAATTGCATTGAATTTGTAGATCAATTTGGAGAGAATTTACACCTCCAATTAATGTAAGATCAAGCCAGGTAAAGTGGCACACATCTGTAGTTCCAGCTACAAGGGAGGCTGAGGCAGGAGGAGGCGCATGTGAATGCAGGAGGCTGAGGAGGAGTATCATTGGAGCACATGTAATATAGCAAGACACCCATCTCAAAAAAAAAAAAAAATTAGTTTAAGATCAATTTGGTGAAAATTTATACCTTAAAAATTCTCTCTTCTTATCCATGAGCATAGTACATCTGTATCAATTCAGATTCTCTTTTCTCTTGGCCATTACTTTATAATTTTCAATGTATAGATCTAGTCCCTCTTACATCACATTTGCCCTAAATATTTTATACCTTGGACACTATTGTGAATGGTGTTGGGAGTCGCCCCAGCTCCAAAGACTAACTTCCTCATCCCCCAAGAAGAGCCGTCCAATGGTGAGCCCTGGTGGCTCACGTGATCCTTACTCACCAATCAGACTAGCCCTGCTGGCTCACATGATCCTTACCCACCAATCAGAAAGCACCCCAGCCAACTGTCAAACCCTTCAACCATTAAACTGTCATAACTCAAACCACCCCCCGGCTCTATAGATATGCAGAGGTGTTCGTCAATAAACAGGCATTTTCTCCGACGGCAAGCCTTGATCGTTCTTTCAAATGATATTTAAAATTTTAACTTCTAATCATTCATTCAAATGTATAGAAACATAATTGATTTCTGAATATTGATCTTCTGTGATGTATCTAAAAAAATTTTTTCCCCTGGTGATGGGACCGAACTCCGAGCCTCACACTTGCCAGGCAAGCCCTGTCCCCCTGAGCGACCCACCTGGACCCTCTGTATCGTCCCTAACATCACTCTTTGGCTTCAGTAGCTTTCTGGCTCCATAGGATTTTCTACAAGACCCTTGTGTCATGGGGAATAAAGGCGGCTTTGCTTCTTCATTTCGGTTCTGGAACTCCTCTCTCAGTCTCTGGTCAGGTTGCCCTGGTAGCATTTCCAGCCCAGTGTTGCAGAGAGCTGATGAGTTTCTCGTGTTAGGAGGAAAATGTCCAATTTTTCACTTTAAGAGTGACAGGAGCTCCAAGCTGTCCATCAATGCCCTTATAGGCGAGGACATTCTCACCTATTCTTAGTCAGTGAGACTTTGTGTTAGGAATGTTTTTTTTTTAAAATTTTATTAATTTTTTTACCTCTATTTTAAGACTTCCCATAAATTAGCGTCATCGTTTACAAATCCAAGTGACGTTTGGAGAGTTACCTGTCTCCGTGTCCTGTTATTTTCCTGTTTATGATACGATTTCTTCAACGTTTCCTCTACATCCAGTTGGCTTCCATATTAGTTGTCATTTTTGCTTCACCTGTCATGCCATGGGGACAACTCAGGAGGAGGCAGACTCTCCATTGCACTTGCCAGTATTTTGGTTGACCAGGCTCCTCCTCCCTACGGGTGTCCCCATGTTCCTTTTTATTGCTCCCTCTGTGTTGCGAGAACTCTT